ATTGGGACAGCCAGTAGGAGGAGGGTTTGTTAAGCAATTCCCCCACCTTTGGTGTTTGAAACTGCTTTGGGCAATTTGAACGATTTGCTCTTGCTTGTTCTGTAAGTTGTTTGAATCTGCTTTAGGTGAACTCTAAGCGAGAAGCTTGTCTTTGGGAGGTTTGGTGCTTCCTTTTGTCTTTTCTTTGGGTTTTATTTTAGTTTACTTTAGACTGACTTGTTTGGACATTTTGAAATTTAATTTGCACTTAACCATTCCTGAATTTGTTGCCCCTTTGTTTTCGTTTTAATTGGGTTTAGCTGTATTTTGTTTTGGTTTTGTGAAACATTATTTTGTAATAAATCGTTTTAAATTCCACTTATTTTCTCTGGACACATTTTTATGTTACTGCCCCTGAACCCCCAGACCTTCAGGGGGGCGTAACACCACTAATCAGAACAACTGAGAAGTCAAAGGCAACACGTGTCAGCGGTCACCATGATCAGTGGTGTCCAGAAAGTGCTAACAGAAAGGAAGGGAGCAGGAAGCTTCCTTTCACTGTTCATTTACCGCAGGGACCTCACAATCTTATTAGCTCGTGCTAAAGAGCTGCACAGTTTCCCACAATCCTTTGCAAGACGGGCGTATAGATCACTGATCTCTATTCACTGGGTTACTGATAGCCCAAAAAAAGTAAAGTCACCTGCCGCCATATTGGTACTCCCACTCCCACAGAGACACGCTATAAAAATGCCTACCTGTGTAGCATTTGGCTTCCACTGGTAATTTCCCAGTCAGTGGATGAACCAACCAATAGATCCATCTAAACGCTGATGGATGCTATAGTATAGTCTGTAGACTGTGCAGCTGAGGCAGTGGAGGACAGGAGGAATCACTACGACCATGAATGTTCTATGCTGGGCTATGATGACGTTAGCATCATAGCCCAGCATTAAACCACGTGCTGGGCTATGACGACGTTAGCATCATAGCCCAGCATTAAACTACATGCTGGGCTATGACGACGTTAGCATCATAGCCCAGCATTAACCCACACGCTGGGCTATGGCGACGTTAGCATCATAGCCCAGCATCAAACCACGTGCTGGGCTATGATGACGTTAGCATCATAGCCTAGCATTAAACCACATGCTGGGCTATGACGACGTTAGCTTGTACCTGCAAGAACTCTTTACCCACAGGAAAAGAAAACTACCCAAAGGGGGCAGCACTGAGAGTGTTTGAAAACAAGCACTGCAGAACAGACTCGCATGAAAATGTACCAAGTAGCTTCAACAGAGCTGGTTTATAAAGTTTATCTGTAATGAATTTTAATCTTGGGTTTAGCTAGGTTAGGCTAGTTTGAAAGGAAATCAAATTTAGCTTCATAAAGACGGTTGAGTTGGTCTGACTTTGTAACCGAGCAGAACTGAAGCAGCCATTGTTTCTCTGGATGGATGTTCAGGATGGATTTTCCTCTGGAAGGAGAAACTCCAACCTGTTTCTTCTTTATCCTGCTTGTCTCAGCACCCCCACAGTATGATGCTGCCATCACCGTGGTTCTCTGGTCCAGAGATGATGGTTTCCATCACAGCTAGTTGGCTAAAATGTTTGGTTTCATTCTCGTGTAACGGATAATCCTGGTTACACCAGGTGAAGATGTCTCTAAATTTTAACTTTTTTTTGTTTCTTTTTTTACCTTTTCTGCCACAGAAAACTGTAATAAATCACTTTGTAGGTAAAAGAAAGCATAATTTTTCACGTCTGTTTCTGGGTTTCCTTTGACTGAGAAAGTCCAGAAACGGCATCTTTTGAAAAATCACTTCCTTTTAGTCCCAGGTGGTTCTGGAGAAACTGATGCTCCCAGGTTAGAAGTTTGCTTGATATCAATTTTATCTTCTGAACTGATGAGAAGATGTGATCCGCGAATCACCATGGCAACCGGTGCCTTCAAACATCCCTCTTTGGACCAGATGTTCCCTGTGGATTCGTTTCGCCGCTTCTTTGGGCTTTGGCTGCTTTTTTACTCGCGTTTCAAGCATTTCTCAAACCTAAAGTTCTGAGAAAAATGATTGAATCCGTTTTTGCTCGTTTGTCTCATTAAAAGGCCGTTCTTCTACAGACCTTCACCCAGAGCTCCTCACACTGTAGTCATCAGTCGTTCCCATGGAAACGTTTGATGCTAGCCTGTAGCCACAGCTGCAGGGATATGAGACAAACCAATCAGGCCACAAAGCAAAAAAAAAGAGGAACCCGTCTGTCAACATGAAGCAGGCCTCATCTACAGAGCTTCAACAAACATGAACGTCCCTCAGTCTGAACGAGTCCCAAAGAACCGTCCCTCACATCGAGCATAGAACCAAACCTTCCAGAATCAATCCAAGAGTGAAAAACCCAGAACAACTTCTAAAGCTCTACGACCTCGCTGCCTCAGAAAAGGTCAGAGGTCACGAGGTGGAGGAGAAACTGGGTCCTCCTTAGACGGGGGCACCCTCTTCCCTCCAACGGAAAAGGAAAGCACTATGAGGTCAGGAGGCCCTAAATGGGGCGGACCCTCGGCGGGAGCGGGGAAACGGAGGGTTAGTGTTTAGGGGCCGGTTTGGGATTGGTCCATGGCCCCCAGGGAGAAGATTCAAGACAGAAACATCTTGGTGATCCTGAAGAGTTTTAGGAAGATGAAAGAAAACTGGACCTTTGAGGAAGATCTAGAACTTCTCAGAACCAGAATTCAGACCAGCTGAACGTATCCTCCCTCACCAAGAAGGCCCAGCAGAGAACATGATGGTGACCTTCTCCCCTCCATCACCCTCTGATGGCTGCAGACCGGCTCCAGCAGAGCTGCTGCTCCTTCTCCTCTGGAAGTGTACACCTCCAGGACCCAGGGGGGGGAGCAGCTAGCACAGCAGCTGATCCCTCCCACCCCTGGACACAGAGCTGTGGTCCATCAGGACCAGAACCTCCAACCATAAAGCTTTGCTCACATGGACCAGGTCCTCCACTGACCCTTAAGTGTTGGAAACAATATGAATATTTTAACACATGGAAATATGTAGATCCTAAAGCCAATTCCTCCTTCAGGTTAAACATTTCTCTGAATCTGGTGGTGGCGGTGTGGTGATCTGGGCTTCCTGCTTCAGGATCTGGTCTTCCTGTTCTCGGCGGAGCCTTGAAAATGAAATCCTCCATCAGAGAATCAGCTGAGGCTACGGGCTAATAGCTGTTAGCTTAGTTAGCTCCGGTGGTTAAGGGGAGCTCAGAGTGACGCTGTGGGTCACATGACCCATGCAGACATGGATCCACCTGCTGAACGTTCTGATGTAAAAGAGAGAGAAGAAGATCCAGAGGAGGTTTGGTGATGATCTGCCTGATGAAGCAGCTGGTCTAAGGAGAAACACAGTGGGAAGGTTGGACCAGAACATGGCGTACCTCACACCTCCACTCATCCGGTTGTTCCACCTTCATTGGTTTGAACTCACAGGCTCTGGATGCAGATCCTCATTCAAAAGCATCTTTTCATCTTAACTTTGGATCATTTCTCTCTTAAATCTTTCATCATTTAGACGATATAAAAGACTAAAGAGTGAAAAAGTAGAAAACGAATAAAATCTCTGTAGCTTTTATTGGACAGAGAATCATGAGGTTAGATCTTAGAAACAACTCTGAGTTTAATTGATATTTATCTTCAAACTCATTTAAGGTTGAAATTGGTT